ATGAACATATATATTTGATGTAATGAATGACCATGGAGGCTATGTGTAATATTTTATACCACTAAGTATGAGCTTGTTGCAGTATAAGCAAGCCTAAGGATGAATATTTCTATAATTTGTTATGCATCACAAAATGGTCAGATGAAATGATAGTTCATATAGGAAAGTGTATGTTTTTTAAAGAATGCAAGTGTAGAATTTCCATAGCTTGGAAATTCATGTGAATGTGCATAGTATCTCTTTCTATTCTCTTTCTATTTATGCTATGATATAAGGTTTACGATGGGGAACCCGTGAGTGACGGAGATGCCCACATACACACCGCCATGAGCGAGCGGATCAACAGAGAGATACAGTATTTGTACAGTCCGTGAGTATAGATATGTGGATGAGGACTGTACCCAGCAGAGCATACTATATGCACGCCGCACGAGCGAGCGACCATAGTAGAGAGAGACAGTACTTGTACAGTCTGTGGTAGTGCATGTAGATGAGGACTGTACCCACTCACATGGCCAGGCTCCAAATCCATGCATCAACTAGTCCGATCGGCAAAACTAGAAGAAGAAAGAAAAGAAAGAAACAGAACAGCATAAGAGAAACAGAAACAGAAAGGAAAAGAAAGTTCTTTTCTCAGGAAAGTTTATTATTTACATATGTATTAGCTACTTACATGATTAGTATTTTTATGTGCCGACGATGTACAATTTTATTTATTGTCTTTGCCCATTGGTAAGTAGACAATCAGAGTATCAGAAAAGAATGCAGAATATCAGAAAAGAATGCAAATAACAGAAGGAATGAAGAATATTAGCAAAGAAAAAGAGGAGAAAAGGAAAATCAGAACATGAGTAACGAAGGAAGAACAGTCATGCAGTTTGGTTACTTACTGAGCAATTAGTGCTCACTCCGTTATTTTACTGTTTTGCAAGTACTAGATCATTACGACTGGGTGGGACTTCAAGAAGCGGAGGAGTTTGGCGGCACTGTTCAGATTACCTTGTGCTATAAAGTAATCAGTATTTTGTGTATATATTTATATGAATTAAAATTAGAATTTCGGATTTTACATTATTTATTTGTTTATAAAAGTTATTTAGTGGTTTTATCATATATTTTTCAAAGAATACTAGCTATACAATGTATTACAATAGTGTTGTCCACAGGATACAATGTCTTAGGGTTGATGGACAGGTCTTTATACTCCTAATGTTCATTTTAATGAATTAGAGTTTCCATTCTCTCTTGATTTTTGTTCTTCGTCTAGTCCTTCCGAAAATGTTTCTCCCAGTCACTCAGTTGCTGTAAACATGCCCACTGGAACTGTTTTTCCTTTTGTACCTGTTCATATTCCTTCTTCCTCAGCTGATACAAGCATTCCAGCTCCTGTTGAAAGTTCTCCAGCAAGAAATTGTCCTTCAACCATTCCCATCACAACTTTTAGGAAAGAGATTTCTACAGCAGCACCTAATCCTTGTCCTGAACCTATTACTGATCTTCAATCACAGCATTCCTCAGAATCATTACACATCACAGATTCCACTCCTTCTTCTCATACAGGTCCAATTTCTAAACACATATCTAACACCCCATATGACCCCAATAGTTCAGTACCAAACTGCTCACTTGAAGTAGATTTAACCAAGTTTCAACTTTCAGATCCTCACCCTCCTACCATTAGCTCCACTTTACCCACTTGTTTACTTGAGGTTGACTTGGAACCATCATAGTTCTCTACTGTTCCTACTGGTCCTCAAGTTTCTGGTAATGCACACCCAATGATAACAAGGGCCAAAGCTACTGCAGCCTCCAACAAAATTGTCCTTCTCATTTCAGGACAGTCTGTTGTGCATCCTGAACCATCTTCAGAATGGAAAGAGGCCCTATGTTGTCCAGAATGGAAAGAGGCCATGCAAGGTGAATTCGATGCATTGGTTAAGAATAATACCTAGTCCCTTGTTCCCATAACTCCTGATATGAATATAGTTGGCAGTAAATGGGTATTCAGGACCAAATTTAATGCTGATGGCTCTTTACAAAGGTATAAGGCTAGGTTAGTAGCCAAAGGATTCCAGCAAACTCCTGGTTTGGACTACTTTGAGACCTTTAGCCCTGTTATTAAGCCTTCCACTATTAGAATCATTTTAAGTCTTGCTATCACCTATGGTTAGGACATCCAACAAGTTGATGTCAACAATGCTTTCCTCAATGGAGAGTTGAATGAGGTAGTTTATATGCATCAACCTGAAGGGTTTGCAAGCCTACACCATCCTTCTCATGTGTGCAAACTTCAAAAGGCTCTTTATGGCCTTAAACAAGCACTAAGAGCCTGGTTTGACAAGTTAAAACAAGCCCTTTTGTCTCATGGATTTCAGAATTCAGTCTCAGATTCCAGCCTCTTTATTCTTAAGAATAATACTCATCACTGGTTCAGATCAGTCATTTACCAATAAACTTGTGAAGGATTTGAATGACAAGTTTGTTTTAAAGACTCTTGGGTCAGTGAAGTACTTTCTTGGTCTTGAAGCTACTCGAACAAATGAGGGACTTCACCTGAAACAGTCCAAATACATCAATGATCTGTTAGTCAAGACAAAAATGTTGGATGCTCACTCTTGCTCTACACCCATGGCTGTTGGAGTAAAATTATTTGCCACTGATAGTGCTCCTTTTAATGATCCTAGCCTATATAGGAGCACCATTGGAGCCCTGTAGTACCTGACTTTAACAAGGCCAGATATCAGCTTCCCTGTCAACAAACTTAGCCAATTCTTGGTAGCCCCAACAGAACTACAGTGGCAGGCCTGTAAGAGAGTGTTAAGGTACATCAAGGGCACTCAAAATTATGGTTTACAGTTCATACCTGCTGTAACATTAGCTGTTGAATGCTATGCTGATGCTGATTGGGGAAGTAGCCTTGATGATAGGAGTTCTACAAGTGGCTATTGTGTATTCTTGGGGCCTAACCTTATTCAATGGAGTTCCCGAAAACAAAAGGTAGTTGCATTATCTTCCACCGAAGCTGAATATAGAGCTCTTGCTCATACTGCCACTGAAGTTGCATGGCTGAAAAGTATATTCTCAGAGTTGGGCATAAGCTTGTCTTCTTCCCCGATTATTTGGTGTGATAATATAAGTGCTGGAGCCCTTGCTGCTAATCCTGTTTTTCATGCACGAACCAAGCACATCGAAATTGATGCTCACTATATTAGAGATCAAGTGCTTGCCAAGAACATTGTTGTGCAATACGTGCCTTCTAAATTGCAAATTGCAGATGCTTTAACTAAGGCCTTGTCAATCTCTCAATTTAATACTTTAAGGGACAAACTCAGTGTTGTTGCTGTAATCAGCAGTGCTGACAGCAATACAGTTGTAGTTCAGGACAAAGTTGGCAACTCTAGCTATATTTCAGAAGTGTTTGATGCTGCAGAATGTTACAGTAGTTTTGATGTTGCAGAAAAAGGTGGTGTTTAACATGCTGCAGAATGGTGCAATGAGCAAGTGCACTGGTGTTTTGGTGTTGAAAATGCAGAGCACTGGTGTTTTGGTGTTAAAAATGCAGAGTTGTGCATGTTGAAAATGCAAGAGTTGTGTATGTTGAAAATGCAGATTGGTATATTGATGTTTGGTGTTGAAATTGCAAGAGTTGTGCATGTTGAAAATGTAGCATTGTGAATGTTGACAATGCAGAATAGTTTTGAAAATGCAGATTGGAGCAATGATGTTTGATGTAACAGATTGAAGCAATGGTGTTTGATGTGCATTTGGTATTTGGGTTGCAATGGTGTTTGAAAATGCAAGAGTTGTGTATGTTGAAAATGCAGATTGATATACTGATATTTGGTGTTGAAATTGCAAGAGTTGTGCATGTTGAAAATGTAGGATTGTGAATGTTGACAATGCAGAATAGTTTTGAAAATGCAGATTGGAGCAATAATGTTTGATGTAACAGATTGAAACAATGGTGTTTGAAAATGCAGATTGTTGAAACTATGGTATTTGACGTGCTGCAATGGTGTTTGATGTCCTTAGCAAGAAGCAAGATTTATTTTTGGTTGGCTCTTGTATTGGTATTAAATTGCTGAACTACTTAATCAAGTTAAAAGGCTGAAGTCCAGAACACAGTGACATTTTCTTTTCCCAGAAGTGGCATTCTTTTCCCAGAAGAATAAGCAGTACCAAAGGTGTTTATTTTGAGGGGGAATGTTAGCACATGATGCTGGAAATAACAGTGGGAAGAAGTAGTATAGTTTGAGGGGGCATGTTGACCATTTATTGTAAAAGGCAGAAACGGTGTCGTTTCTGCCTTCATAACTTCTTCTTCATCTGAGCAAAAACGGTGTCGTCTCTCTCTGCCCATCGTCTTACTCTGCCTTTACCAACTCTACTTTACTAAATTCTGTTTTCACTCACTCACGGTTTTTCTGTTTCTCTCACTCACCAAATATTCTTTGTATAAAGGTGAGTTGAGCTTCATTAATTGTAACTTCTTCAGTTAATGAGAAGAAAATATCAGGATTTTTCATCTTTCTCTTTAAGATTTACAGAAACAACTAATCTTGTGGTCAGACGATAATAATTTACCCGTCTAAGGGATTGTCCAAAAATTGTATGTTCAAGTCTCATAAAGTAACACCTCAAAACGCTTTACATATCTACGTGCTTATTAGTTACGAGGTATAAATCAATTTTCTAACACTTACTAAATTCAAACAAACGGGACGGCTTTACAATTCAATTAAGCATATTAATTTTTTTAATTTTGCGTAATTAATAATAATTCCTAACACCAACTGGATAATTTGTCTTTATGCTAAGTCAATGGCTACAAGGGGAGACATTGTCAGAGCATCTTCCACGAAGTGTCCTTGCTACTGCCAAAAATTAATTGAATATTGGAATGAGGCTTCGTTGAAGGTGAATGCATGGTACATTATTGAAGATGGTATTTGACCAATCTCTCTCTTCTCATCTGAACACTTTGTAAAAGGATTCTGCGTGTTGGATCTGGGTAATTTCTCGATCAGTAGAAGTTCTTGATATTCTGCCAACTGATCTAAAAAGGAGCCGTTCTCATCAGTAGAAGTTGATGGCTTCATCTGATTCTCCTCAAGAAAAGTATGATGTTTTTCTTAGTTTTAGAGGCGAGGACACCCGCTACAATTTTACCAGCCATCTCTACGGAGCTCTGATTCGGGCGAATATTTCAACTTTTATTGATAATCAACTTAATAGAGGAGATGAAATTTCGTCATCTCTTTTGAATGTTATTAGAGAATCAAAGATTTCGGTTATCATTTTTTCAGAACGCTATGGATCTTCCAGATGGTGCCTCGAAGAACTTCGGGAGATCATTAATGGACGAAGGAATATGAATGGTCAAATCGTAATACCAGTCTTTTATCTCGTAGATCCATCAGATGTAAGAAATCAAACTGGAACTTTTGGAGATGGATTTGCTAAGCTTAACAAACGTTTTGCACAGAGTTTAACGAAGAAATGGAGGAATGCTTTGACGGAAGCAGCAAACTTATCTGGCTGGCCTTTAGATGCCACTGAGTAAGTGTACTTACATCCTCACTATGAATTACTTTTTATTTAGTTATATGTTTTATTTTTATTGAAATTCATAGTTGATAGATCTCTTAATGCGTCCCTTCGATTAGATTAATAGTAAGTTAAATGAGTCATTTTCTAACCTAAGGGGTTGGTTGAAGGTCAAAAATTATTATTATTATTATTTTTTTGGTGATTGTGAGTGTTCGAGTTAGCTTGCGTGTATCTCAACTAATCTTTGATGTCTTGAAGTAAATGATCGGGCAAATCTTCTCAATGGCCACCCCTATTAGTGCCTAGGGGGACTCGAAATTAGAAACCCATTAGACCCCTCTGCTTTTTTACCATTAGGCCAACCAATGGTGGTTTGGTCGAGAAGGTTTGTTCTTTTCATTAATTTCTTAGGTTTAAAATACTTTGAGACCACTTATCACATTATTTGTGGCTTATCTTAAAGCATTAACTTTGTAGAGTGTTCAATAGGTCCTGAAGATTGCTCGTAAGCGGGCCCTGACACCCCATTCATTAAAAAAAAAAGTCAATTTCTAATTAATTTATTTTAATTAACAACTTTGAAGAGGGAGAATTTTAAAATTTCTTGATCAATTATTACTTATCGATATTAACTAATAGAATTAAAATAATGTAAGTTTGATTTGTTTACATATTTTTTCATTGTTTGATTTCTATATTTGCTAGGTCCGAATATGATCGTATACAGGAAATTGTCAACCATGTTCGGAGGACATTGATTCCTATGTACCCAAGTAATTATGACAAGAATTTAGTAGGAGTACAATCAAGCATCAAGAAAATTGAAACTTTATTAAGCAAAGGGTTAGAAGATGTTCTCAAAGTAGGAATATGGGGAATGGGTGGTATAGGTAAAACAACTGTTGCAAGAGCTGTATTCAACAAAATCTTTAAGGAGTTTGATGATTATTTCTTTGCTCTAGATGTTAGCGAAGCGGTAGGCACATCTTTGCAGAAAGATCTTTTTTCTGCAATTTTACAGGATGAAAAAGCCCATCTAGCTTGCGAGTTAACAAAGAAAAGACTTGGGCGTAAAAGAATTCTCATTGTTTTTGATAATGTGGAGTCCAAAAGACAAATAACAGATTTGATTGGGGATCTTAATTGTTTTGGTTTAGGAAGTCGATTCATTATAACAACAAGAAACAAACAAGTGCTTAAGAATTGTGGAGTGGATGACACTAATATATACAAGGTTGAGAGATTGTTTCATCATGAAGCTTCTCAGCTTTTTAGTTGGCATGCCTTTCAACAAAAGTATCCACCTTCAGGTTATTCTGAGCTGTCGAAAAGGGTAATAAAGTATGCAAATGGTGTTCCATTAGCTCTCACTGAGTTGGGTTCCATTTTATTTGGCAAAAAAGAAGTCTGGGAAAGTGTCACAAATAAACTACAAACAATGCCTTGGAAGGGTATTCAAGACGTGCTAAAAGTCAGTTATGATAGATTAGATCCTAAGCAACGAGGTATCTTTCTAGATATTGCATGTTTTTTTGAAAGGGAGAGTAAAGCTCTTGTAATTAAATTTTGTGATATTGATAACTCCGGCCCAACTTGTGAAATAGATGCTCTTATCGACAAATGTCTCATAAGTGTGTCAAGTGATAAGATAATAATGCATGACTTACTTCGAGAAATGGGTAAGGGAATTATACAAGAATTCTCTCAATATCCTGAAGACTGGAGTCGTTTGTGGCATCCCAAGATATTTATCCTATACTGGAGGAATCTACGGTAAGATCAAAGACATTACTTTTGCATTCATGTTATACAAACACGCGCACACATGTACATCATGCTATGTATATTCAGTTATTAAAATTTTGGAAATTATCTTCTAAGAATCCTATATAATTTCCTTAAAAAAGATGTCGTATTTGAACCACTAAAATGTAAAAGTAAGCTTTAATGAATTGATGCCTAACATTGTTTTCTTGTTTATTAGGGAACTAGAGCAATTGAAGGCATATGGTTTGACATGATTGAAGGAAGTAGGATAGAATTAAGTCCTCATGTTTTTCGAGAGNTATTCTGCTTCAGTTGTTGAGAGAGCAACAATGGGCTGAAGCTGTGACTTCCAGCTAATGCAATTTCCTCCAAGGGTAAAGTAATATGAGGTGGTGGATTTCCTTGTGTCTTTGTCACCTGCAAAGTCAGAATCTACAAAACCCACCAACTCAAGTGTATTATGCCTTTTACAGAAGTTTAAACCAACATTCAGGGTACCATTAATGTACCTTAATACTCCCTTTAAGGCAGTCCAGTGCTCACTGCCTGGATTTGCCATGAATCTGCTCAGTAAGGAAATAGAATAGGACAGGTCTGGTCTGGTACTGATCATTCCATACATCACAGATCCAACAACATTTGCATAGGGGTCAGATTCCATTTTGATTATCCCAGATTCAGTTGAGGGGCATTGGCTCTTGTTTAACACAACATGGTTTGCAAAAGGCATAGACACTGGTTTTGAGTCAGCCATACCAAATTTAGACACAAGTTTTTCTAAGTATGATTTCTGCCTAATGATTAATTCATGTTTACCCCTGTTCCTGATAATGTCCATTCCTAGGATTCTTTTGGCATTTCCTAGATCCGTCATGTCAAATTCTGACCTAAGCTGACCCTTTAACTCATGAATTTTAGACTTAGACTCACTCACAAGTAACATATCATCCATATACAATAAAAGGTATACAGGCAGATCATGATTCAAATTATAATAAAAATAATTGTCATATCTACTCCTAATGTATCTTATACTTACAATGAAATTGTCAAACCTCTTATACCACTGTCTTGGGGATTGTTTCAGCCCATACAGTGATTTGTGTAGGATGCACACATGGTCAGGTTTCTTGGGATCAACAAAACCTAGGGGTTGGCTCATATAAATCTCCTCTTCTAAGTTACCATGCAGAAAGGCAGTGGTAACATCCATCTATTCTAACTCTAGGTTATAATGGGCAACAATGGAGAGCATTAACCTAATGGTTTTATAACATCCATCTATTCTAACTCTAGGTTATAATGGGCAACAATGGAGAGCATTAACCTAATAGTTTTATACTTGACTACAGGGGAAAAGATTTCATTAAAGTCTATTCCTTCATGTTGGGTGTAACCCTTAGCTACTAACCTGGCTTTGTACCTAAGGGGATCAGTAGCTAAGATTCCCTCTTTAATCTTGTACAACCATCTGCATTGGATTAGTTTTTGATCCTTGGGTTTGGGAACTAGGGACCAGGTTCTGTTTACCTCAAGTGACCTCATTTCCTCTTCCATTGCTTGCCTCCATTTTTCCCTTTCCTTAGAGTTCATTGCTTCTTCATATGAGTATGTTTCTGTTCTTTGAATCCTTGTTCCTGCAAGCAAAGTAGTGTATATTAGTTCAGCATAAGAGAACCTGGCAAGGGGTTTTACCTCCCTTTTTATTCTATCTCTGGCAAGTTGATAGTGTTCTAATTGTGCATGTTGGGGCTCTGAGGCATCTGATTCATTTTCTTCACTATCAGATCCAGGGTCCACTGATCCTGGTTGGTTTTTAGGTGCATGTTCCTCATTGGGTTGAGGTGGTTCAGCCTACTGACCCACAGGCTCCACCTCAATAGTTGTACTCTCAGTTGTATCCTTGGTAGGTTCAGTTGGGGTGCTTGTACCAGTGTTTTGTTCAATGGTTTTACAAGGGAACACCCATTCATTAAAGACCACATCCATAAAAATGATGATTTTTAGCCCTGGTGAATTTCTATCCTAGAGCCTATACCCCTTGGTACCATCTTGATATCCTAGGAACACACACTTGGTGGATCTAGGCTCTAACTTTCCTCCCACTGTATGTGCATAGGTTGCACACCCAAAAATTCTCAAATGGCTTAACCCAGGCTTTCTTCCTGACCATACTTCTTCAGGACATCTGAAATTTATGGCAGTAGAGGGGCTCCTATTTATCAGATAGGCTGCAGTGGACAAGGCCTCTCCCCAGAAGGTATTAGGTAACCCTGAAGTGAACAACAAGCATCTGACTTTTTCCAGGAGTGTCATGTTCATCCTCTCAGCTACCCCATTCTGCTGAGGGGTTCTTCTCACAGTTCTATGTCTTAGGATTACTTGCTCACTACAAAACTTATCAAACTCAGTGTTACAGTACTCTAATCCATTGTCAGTCCTTAGAGTTTTTACCTTTCTGTCTAGTTGGTTTTCCACTAGAGCTTTCCACTCTTGAAATTTAGACAGTGCCTGGTCCTTAGTTCTAAGGGTGTAAATCCACACTTTTCTGCTAAAGTCATCTACAATGGACATAAAGTAACTACTGCCCCTATGAGACGTCACTTTCTCAGGTCTCCATAAGTTTGAGTGTATGTATTCTAAACAACCTTTGGCCAGGTGTATGCCTTTTTGGAAACTGACTCTGTGCTGTTTTCCTAAAATGCAATTCTCATAAAATTCTAAGGTTGTAGCAGTGTCCTTTCTTAACATGCCTTGGTTACTTAGGATATCTAGTTCCCTCTGACTCATATGTCCCATCCTAAGGTGCCATTTTTCTGTTACTGACATATTTGGGGTGACAAGAGAAGAACTTAGGCAATTAGAATAATATTCTCCACATAGGATGTATAACCCATTCTTTTTTTCTCCTTTCAGAATTAGATTCTGGTTTTTATACACATTCAGCCACCCATTTTCGGCCCTGTAACAACATCCTACCTCATCTAAGGTTCCTAAGGATATGAGGTTCCTTTTGAGTTCTGGAATGTACCTAACATGAGTAAGCTTTATTAGTTTCCCATTACAGAGTCTAAGGGTTATACTACCTTTACCTTTGACCCTACAGGCATTGTTGTTCCCCATGAAGACAGTCTCCCTATCATATTCCTCAAAGTCATGAAACCAGTCCCTATTAGGACTCATGTGAAAAGAGCACCTAGAATCTAACACCCCCTCTCTTGTATTGTCAGACACAGAGACAGTAAGCACCTCTGTTTCTTCAGCTAAGTGTTTGGATGAGGCTAGGTTACTCTCTGTGTTTCCCTGCTTTTGTTTCTTAAGCCATTCAAAGCAATTCTTTTTCAGATGACCAGTTTTATTTCAGAAAAAACATTTTCTAGACTCTGCCTTATGCTTATTGTTCCATTTACCCCGTTTCTTGTTTTTGGACCCCTGGGTAGGTTGACTGCCTTTACCAGATTGAAAGGTATATGGTTTTCCCCTAACAAACAGGTTACTCCCATTTCGTTTTTGGACTTTTAACTCAAGTTCTCTAGCCTTAAGACCAGCCACAATCAAGTCAACACTAGGGACAGTACCGAAATACTGAAGTGCATTCTTAACAATAAGATAATCTTTGGTAATGGAGTTTAACAGTATCATGGCTAGACTAGTCTCTCCTAGTTCCTGATCTGTGCCCTTTAAAATTAAGGTCATTTTTAGGAATTCATCTAGGTTCTCCTCTATTGTCTTGCTACTATCCATTTTATAAGAAAACAAAGCACCCTTGAGAAAAGTTAAGTTTGGTGCAGGTTGAAGTGCATACAAAGTTTTGAGTTTACCCCATAACTCCAGAGGGGTTTCGATTCCATCAACCTTCCTCAATACACTGTCTGAGAGGTTCATCACGATCAGATTGTAGGTTGCTTCATTAATCTCCTCCTTCTCTTTCAATTTCTCCTCGGACCATTTCTTTTGATCCTTCTCCAGTGCAAGGCCGACTTTATTATGTGAAAGCAGAGCCTTTATTTTCTTCTTCCAACTCCCAAAATCGATCTTCCCATCGTATTGGGAGATCTCCATACGTGTAGTGCTCATGGTATTTTACAGATAGTGTGATACAGTCTAAGGAGTAAGTGACGTTGTTATACCAGAAGTTGCCAAATACTACCAGGCAGTTTTTAAGGCGGTCACTGGTTTCCAGCCTATATACCATTAAACTGGACAGACAACCGAAAAAGAACACTACAGGTATAGACTCACGGCACTGACCAAGATTACTCTCCTTAACCAGTGTTTGTGATCTAATCTCACAAAGATAACCCCAAGACTCAGTAAGAATCAAAGTTCTAAGGCTTTAGGACTCTTTTGATTGAGAAACCCCTAAAATCTGAGAAACCCCAATTTTCCAAGCAAACCCTAATTTTTCGATTTGTCAAAAAATTGAAAGATTTCTAAAACCTAGATACACCCTAGGACGATGGCTTTGATACCACTGTTATGCAATCAACCAAGATGCAACCAGAAACAAGCAAGAAACCAGAAAACCACATACAATAAACACCGGATTTTTACCGTGGTTCACTTGCCCGATTTGAGCAAGCTACATCCACGTTGAACTCCAGAAAGGGAGTTCGCTGCACTATGATTAAAGAACAACTGATTACAGTCACGATTACAAAGATAGACACCCAAGAACCCAGATCAAACAACTCTGATTCAAACCCGTAAGCTGCCCTAGGACTCTTCTAACCTGGAAATCCCTATAACAAGAACACAGTAGTTCTTCCCTTGATTGATTAACCCAAACCACTCAAGAAACCCACAGATTACACCGAAATTAGACCCAACAAGAAAGAACCCTAATCTTACCAAGAAACGAAATACGGCTCTCAACTTTTATGTTTGATCTTCTGTTACAATAAGAAACCCTAATCCTTTTATAGCGTTGACTGGAGGCTTGATCTCAGCCGTTGGTATTTCCTCTGAATCAGTGGTTAGGATCATCCAAGAGCTGTATCAAAACAACACCGTTCCATTTATTCAGTACGACGCCGTTTCAGCATTCACTCGCAACAGTTATAAAATAATCATATATAAAAATTTATATATGTTCTCCCATTTAAAGTTATACTGTTATTTATTCTTTTTTTTTTTTTTTTTCTATTGCTTGTAATTCCGATTGTTGGTTTAAATTTCTCACGTAAAAGAAGTATAAAAATTTTAGCGACCTTCACTGAATTCTTAACATGCATTGGGTTTTACATTAATTTGTTAGAAACTTGGACTTTGTTTTTTAATAGGTTTCTTTTTTCTTTA